ATATAAAATAATTTTTAATAATAAAAACATACATTTTAGAGCTTCACATTATTTCATTTAACAAACATGACAAAGAAAACGTAATACTTGTATGAATAATTTTTCTTACGTATAATATGGGGTAAGAGAGCAGAGTGGGCAGAGGGACTATGCTAGGACATAGTCGATTCTATATGTATAAATGTAAATTAAGTTGAAAAAGACTCCTACAAACATATTTCTAAAAAAATGTAGCAAAAAAAATAACTATATACCATAGTCTGGGGATCGGTGAGTGGAGCGAGCTGGGGGGCGGAGCTTTTTTATTTTTAAGTCTAAATAATTTATACATGCATATAAATATAAATTATTTAAACTTTGTTTATGTTCAACATATCTAAATAATACGCATCTTATTACAATGTTACAGTTGTAAAAATGTATGTGTTCATCTCTGCATGTGTGTGATTGTCCGTTTGCTTGGACTGTCGTCTGCTACGTTATGAGTTTGTGATTATGTCTATAGATGCGATATACACACTTATGTATAAACACACTCATAAAATTCACACGAATTTACGAATACATCCAAGAATGAGGAAGGCGGGTCCTGGTGGCCTCTCGATTAAGCTTAACACCATACATTCCTTATCGAGGAAAATATAGTAGGTAAACATATAACATGTTTACTGGGCTAATAAGTTATTTGAGAGAATACAATTCATTGCCACTGTATATAGAACTTGAAGCAATGTTGAAAAAGAAATAATTGAAAGCAATAAATTTATGTGACCTTTTATTTTTGTTGAAAGGTAGATTTTATGGAGATAAGTGATACTGTACCACCAGTGTCAAAAATTCAGGATAATTAGGGCTAACTGTAGCTCGGAACCCATGTGTTTAAGCTATTTGGCGCTAGTGTCGGGCAATCACACGTATATTTTAAATGGTACTTGGACTCGAAGTTTAAGTTTTTGCCGCAATATGCACAAAGCGAATACGATATAAGTAAACAAATGTGCTATTCTCTTTGGAACAACTCAAAAAGTTTCTTTGTCTAGTTAAAAATAGTTATAACCATACATTATACGAAACGCTATTGCTCCAATAAATTTAAACCTTTTGTAGATAATATTTGTGCAGCAAATTTAATTACACATGCCTATGATTTGTATGGGGATGGCGACCTAGGAAGCTAATCTTAGATGGTGCAACCGGTACTTAGGGCTCTAGCCAATGAGATATGAGAACGGTTTATGCAGTGCAGTGCAGAGTGCAGACGACAAAAATTACATATATATGTATACTTTCGTGTATAAATCGTTCTCACATCTCATTGGCTAGAGTCATAAGTACCTGTTGCGCCATCTGAGATTAGTTCGGTAGGTCGTCAGCGTTGGCCGCGATGGTCAAAAATTTGTTGCCTAACGCAACCTTAAGGCCGATTGTTAGTGTCGTCGGTGAAGCCCATCAGAGCTCAGTGTAACTATATATAACTATGTTTATGAATGTTAGTTCACGACTTCATCGGTGGTGGCACTGAGCTTTACTGAGCTTCACCGACGATACTAATTTACGGCCTGAAGGTTGCGTTAGGCATCAAACTTTCGACGATCGTGGCCAACGCTGTAGGTCGCCATACCCATTACACGGCTGCACTCATATTGTGTAGAGAAAAATTTTGTGTAGACTTACCATGTGTATTAAACTGCAGAACTTACCTTGTGTAGCAAATATCTGTGTAAGAAAATGTTGTGTGAACTTACGCTGTGTATTAAATCAGTGCACTTACCTTGTGTAGTAAAATTTTGTGTAGAATAATATTGTGTATACTTATGATGTGTATTGAATTGCTTTACTTTACGTGTGCACAAAATTTTTGTGTACTACAATTTATGTGTGAGATTATTATTGAGATAAATAATATAAAGTGCAAAATACTTGCGCAGGGTATTTTTGTGCAAAATTTTTTTACGTTGAAAAATGTCATTGTGTAGAATTAATCTGTGTAAGGTATATTGAGTCTCAAACTTTTGCTGTGATTGTAAAATTAATAAAATGATGAACAGAGATTTGTGTCTGAGAAAAAAGTCTTAATAGTGGTTTGTGAAATACGAAATTTTCTCTTCATTTTAAAAATTGGCTACGGTAAACGTATAATTAAATGTATTTATTAGTTAAGCCCCATACAGTGACCTTTATTTTTTAGGATTAAGTAAGAACTTGCGCTGAATATTGTAAAAGGTTGAAGTACAATTCAAAGAGAAATCTAATGATTGGTTTGAAGTAGCTTTAGCTGTATTAATATTGTATTGTAAGCTTGTCACTATACAAGGAATTCACTACTTAAATTCTGGCACAGAACTTATAATAAAAAAAAAATTCTGAACATTGTTCGTTAGTTTTTTTTTTTTGTTAAGTTTGTAGCTGTAGACAACGTAGAACTTTTATTTTAGTTAATTACTTTTTTAGGAGTCGAGAAATTTAAAACTCAAATGTAAGTATGTTTACGGACTTTTGTTTATAAGCTTTGTAGCTAAGAAAGTTGTGCACATGATCAAATGTGTATACGTAGAAGTGCGCATAAGTGAATAGACGCATAATATCAGGAAATACCAGTTAAAAAAAAAAAAAAAAAAAGAAAAAAACCATACTATTTAGTACCATGCACTTATGTACTATGATAATACTGTTCTGTAACACGATGTAATACGGAACGGTAGGTAACGTTTTAATTTAGTTTATAAAGGTACAAAATGTAACTTCAACACAAGACAGTATACAGTTGTACATTGTATAGTAAGTAATCCGAAAAAGTGTGTGTTCCACGTATCTGGGGCATTGTGAGCCTGTTTATGTCCCTACACAATTTTACTTAGGTATTTCGTAAGACTTGGTAAAGGCAGTTTTAATACAACTTTACAAGTACCTAGTCGTGAAGGATACCACTTTACATAGTATACAGTTAAGATAAGTAAAAAATCAGAGTCTTCAATTTAAGCGTATTTTCGATAGTACATAAGTGTCAGGTACTTGTATTTATATCAATTTTTTTTGGCAGCATTTTCATGTACAAATATAATGAGGTATTTTTTAATAAATACTTAGTTTTAAAAAGTAAAAGCTTCTTCTGACTTTAAAGTTACATTTACTGGCTAACTCTGAGAAAAAAATGGCTACTTGAACATGTAACAGTTGCTGCAGTTCAGATCTCACGCATACTAAGAGTTAAGCTGTACTGGGACCTTGTCAACAAAATGAATGTCAATCATAATTACAAGAATGTTACTATAAGAAACACAATAAAGCAGAAATACCATTACATGGTGTATATTTGTTATTAAGAAGTTCTAGCAATCGAAAAGGTTTTTTGGTCTTCTAGCTGAAGTTTATATAAGGAGAATAAGAAACTTTATGACTCACGCAGTAAGAGGTAAGCTATACGGGCTTTCGTAAAAAATTGTACAAAATTGTAGTTATAGAAAATGGTTTTTAGGGCTAAGCACTTTATAGCATTATCTTAATTTTTTTTTTTTACATTTTTTAGCCATTTATAACAACGTTTATCTTTTTTTTTTATTTACCAAGGTCTAAAAATTTTTTAAAATTTGTTTTAATTTGTTTTATCTGCAGTGCACAACACCAAAGTTATTAATTATCTCTAAGGTTTGAACTCATATTTGAAGGAAACGGGGCATCATTTATGATATAATCCCAGCGTTCTTTCTATCCGTGTAATTTGTACTTAGTTCAACTAACATTAAAGCTTAACTCTAAGAAACTTAAAGATAAAATTAATACTATTATTGGTATACTGTTTGAATTTGGTTGTAGACCTTTTTTATAACGGCTTTATTCTATTGTTAAAAAAAAAGATGCCTTTGAACTCGAATAGCAAAGTACGAGCTACCATATGTACAACTGGAGTCATATTTTTTCTTAGATGGTTTAATTCACCTGCATTTTACAGAAACTTTTCGTCAGACACTCATCTTCCTAAGGTTGACGAGAAAGTTTTATTTAGAGACAATCTTAGAATTTAAAAAGCCTGCTTTACACTCAAATTGGCATTTAGTCGCTTGCTTTTTGACTTTTTCTACAGTAAGTGCAGCAGTTCGGGAAAGAAGAGCAAGAAACGAAGGAGTTAAAATTAATAGTGACGATAATAATATAAAAAAAATTTGTTGTATGCAAAGTGTTTTACTCGGCAGTGACACTAACTCAGATAAACCAATGTGTATACAAGTCTGTGTTGAGGAAAAGTGACTTATATGGACTGTTATGTTAGTGAGGACGTAATTATGAGGATAAGATGAAGTAATTTAGACGTCTGCATAACTTTACTATTTATTGAGCATGCATTTTGATAGAAAGTAATATTTGTCACATTCCACCTACACGCCCAGGCACACAGACACATACACACATACACACCCATATCTTTTTATGCGAATATGTAAAGAGATTTAGTTTAAGATGAAAATATATAATAAAACTCTTTAGTATCTACAGAGAGACATTTTAGCTGCAAATAAATCTGGAGTGTGGATAATGGGACGTTCTATGAATTGTCTACAAGTTTTTTTGTAGAGCATTGTTGTAAAACAGTAATTAAATACTTGTACCATTATGAAAATCTGAAAAAAATGAAAAGAGTTTGTAAAAGCGTTTTGTTATTATATTTTACGCGCAAAAATTATTCTAGTTCAAGCTAACCCTTTTTATCAAGTACTGTTACAAGATTTCCATACTTTCTTTGAGAATTATGGAATTTTAACTTTATTTTCTAATCCAGGACTATTAGTCAATTTGAACAAATATGTCATAAAAGATTATAAGATCCACTTACTTGCTACTTTTATTGTAAATAACTTATGATCGAGTGAGTTTGGATAAAATAAAGGCCAGTAATAAAAAAGTAGCCTTGTTGCTGACGCTCTTGCAGACTTAGTACCATAAGCAATAACACAAAGCACATCTCTTATTACTTCAGTCTTCATTGCCATAAGACATTCCAGTAACTGACAATGTTGAGCTGTAACAATTAAAATAACTTCTTGTTAGGTTTTTCCTATGCAATCAAATGTAACACTAAAAACGTACGTTTATAAAAAGATATTCCATGTCAAAAGAAACAGTTTTAACTATGAATGTATAACAGAAGCTCCAATCATCTAAAACTTGCTTAATTTTCTAAAATTTACTGTAGAATGTAAACAAATTTGGTCGCTTGAGCAGGACTATTTTAATTGTCCTGTTCAAGTAACCAACTTGTTCTCATTCTATACTGAATTTTGAGTAACTTTAACCCGCAAAATGAATTTTATCGTAAGTTTGAAAAGCATTTACCTCTGGGACTTAATGTGTAACCTTATAACTCAAAACTGTTGCGCTAAAATACATCTTATGTTAGTGACTAAACAAGCATATAAGAGAAAATATGCAAAACATGTCCTTACCATTTTTTATTGAGGTATACATAAGTCTCATGTGCTGGATTCTTCTACGTATACTTTCTCTGTTTTTTTCCTAAAGATCCAAATCAATATTTTGGCTTGATTCTTTTTTCTACGTAGGTGTACCAACTAGTTTCTTTAGGATAATTTTATATTGAAGGCATTTTATATGCTCTACTTTGAATTACCATACGAATCAATCTCTTTTTTAGGCTTTGAACATACTTATGAACACATTTCTACTCAAAATACATCTTTTGTCATTTCCAACAGATGGTGGTCTAGTCTTACTTTAGTAAAAATGGAGAGAAAGCAAAAGCATTTCTTAAATAAACAACTAACTAAAAATTTTTAATGATAATGTACCTACAAATCAAAATACACAGCAGATACACTACATTTGAACCAGGCAACGGCTAAAACGTCTGCAAGTACACCTCTAAGTATATTGTTTTTCCCGACTTCCTTTATCTTAAAGTGATCAATCCTGAATTTTCTGGAAATTAGTTAAGACGTCTTTCCACTTTAAATTAATATAGTGATGCATACGAATATACATAGAATGGTTTTGTTTATTTAAGGTCATTTAATAAAAATTTTGATTGGCTTCCACCAATACAGTAAAACCTATGCATACTTTCTCTAGTTGAGCCGTTAAATTTGATAATTATACCGTACTACATATAAAAAGTAAGCACTGTAACAGTGCTCCCGACTGCGGAACCCCACCCAGCGGGAAATTCAAAAATAAAAAAAATAAAAAAATAAATAATTAAATTAAATAACAATGTTAAAGGTTTCAATTGATTGCTGGTAGAATATGTACAGTCATTTTTATTAATATTAGAGCCCAACATTATTCGAACGAATGCGCATTGCTGAAGATTACTGTCAACCTACTTGTATAAAATGTGATTAAAGGCAAAACACGATTATTAGTGACTAAAATATTAAGTATCATGAGTTGCTACGTATAAATATTTAATTAATCTTTGATGTTAAGGCTTTTTGTCCAAAACGGAGTAGCTATATATATAAATATGGATGCTACAATTGTTCAGCTTGAAAGTTGGCAGCACCTTTATATATATAGTTATATAGGTAGAAGTTGCAGACGATGCAAAGAAGAAGTGGACGTCGTGCTTAATATTTTCGTTTTATCGGCTCGTTGCTCGGTGAAAAATATTTCGGTTATAGCCAATTTATTAATCGATATTGCATGATTGATCGGTTATCACTCGTTGTACCTGCCAAAATATTGGCTCACAAAGTGCAAGTATGAGATTATTTCAGCTGGACGTCGAATAACCTGCAAATATCAGATAAGTAAAAAAGCCTTTTGCTTGTTTCACTGAGCATTATTACTCAGCATTAATTGCATAAATGTAATGTGAACCAACGAATCACAGTAAATAAACATTTATTTGATTTTTAACATTATTTTTCATACTTTTACAATTTTGAAAACCTTTATACTTCGTTTCCCTTTCCATTATACATTTATCAAGAGCTTTTGAGCATAGGTACTTTGTATAAACGTTTACTTTTAGGTTTTATTTCAAGACGACAGGATGTCATGTCAGCGGATTCGTTTGGCTGCTCATTGGGACTCGCCTCCTTTTTAATGGTAATTTTATGAATAATTAGATACCACATCGCCCCTGACAGTATACATTCCACAAGAGGTAATGAGCTCCAGCTTACAAGCTTGTTCATAATAGGGGAGTTTGTGTAACCGCTCGAAGCTTTCATTTGGTAATAGCACCAGGAAAAATAATGTGACGCAGTCCATGGATTGCGATGCAGTGCAAACAAAGGCCATCGATAACCGCCAAAGGCAAGAGGTTCCCCCAGGTTATCTGTACATCGAAAAATTTACTCCAAAACTTTGCTCGACAACTGAGTAAGTAATATTTTTTAAAAGCTACCAGTTTTCTGTGCAGATGCACATAAACGGTGCTCTTACATTTATTCCTAAAGATGGTTATATTTTGTTCTGGAATTATGCAATTCATATTTCCAGGGTTCAAAGTCTCGGAGGCACTCGACTAACATTGAGAGGTAGCCTCGATAATAATTTTTCAACTTCGACATCGCACTTGTAATAATCGTCACTTAACGATATTAGCACGTCATATTTCGTCATGTTCATTGTTATTTTTCAATGTTATGGGTACACGTTCATACGCTATTCGAATGACAGATCGTCTAATTTTACAGTTCCTCGGGCTTCGCATTTCCGTACAGGTGATTTGCCCTACAATCTCTCTGATAGTCAGCGAAATCAACAGCCATCCAAATAGCATCGTGCAAAGATATGTATTCAGCCAGTGTCTACTTACCATTCTGACTTGAGAAGGCAGTATAAAGTGATGTTTTCCAGCTTCTATCGGATACTCTGATTATTACTTTCTCCTTCTGATCATCAGTAAGGTGCTCGATGTCATGGTTATTTTTAGTTTTCTCTCTAGGCATCTTCTACATTCATCCCAATGGACTTTCAGTGCGTCCAGAGTACACTCGTGCGTGCAGTGAAATTGTCTCGCTAAGCAATTGATAAGCAATCACTCGGAGCTTCCAGTGATATTAACCGGGGAGATCGAGATAATGAAATTACACCTCGATTCTTTTATTCAACATAAAGCGCACTCTGCACTAGGATCAATTCCTACAGCGTTACGTGCCCAACGTTTGATGTACTTTGTAAAATGTACGTTTTTTTTGGAATTATAATTTTCCTCTCATCTTGGGGCTTTGTCTTTATATTGAGCTGAACTTGTTAAATTTTATTTTCCTGTCGATCGAGTCCATAAATCTCCTCGGAAGCTTTGAGTTCATTTTTTTTAACCTGCTAGGCGAGACAATGTCACAAGACGTACGATTGAATTTTTCCTTGTAGCGATTGAATTTTCTCTCGATGGCCCATCACCGCCGACTTTTCGCTGTATTCCTGTACATGTTTACTAGAATTGTATTCAAATGTTCGGCCATTGTGTATGACAAGCTCAGATTAAGGGCTAACTTTGGAACGTAGAAGAAAGTGTTTAGATATTATTTAGGATCATTTAGTAACATTATACCAATATTTCTCACACAGTACACTTTCTGTGCAGTTGGCTTAAAAAAAGTGAGAGTAATTTTTGAATAAATACAGTGTAACCTTTTCACCGATAAGACAATGGTTTGTCAGCCCTAATGACGCTTACAATTTTTTTTTTTTTTTTTTTTTTTGACGTAGTCTGTACATTATTACGTGATCTTATTTTCTTGACAATTCTACTCATGTTCTTTCTCTTATAGTACTGACGTTTCGAGTACAAATCAATCATTTCTTCGGGTGGCTCAACATTTCCATTGGTATTATACGATCGTACAAATTGTCGAGCTCGCATTACTCCATCAACAGTTTTTGGCTTCAAGCAGTTTCTTTTTTTTGATCTCGTCTCTATTAAATCACTGAAGGTCCGCTCTGGCGTCGCGTTCGCATGTGGAATACTTTTAGCTACAAGTGCTACTGAACTTAACTCGAAAAACTGTTTTACTCCATCTTTCTCTACCTGATTTATGTACAACCAAAAATCGTCTACCGTCATTAAAAAAACGTTGAAATCAGGTGGCAATTCCAAGGAGGGTAGTTTATTCCATTCCTCCTTTAAAATATTAGCATCGCATTCAACAATCAATTTTTGAAATACGCTCAAGAAAGATTCAAAGCAATTCGTTTCTCTAAAAGCCGTTGATACCGCGTTTTGAGGATGAAGGCAAGAAGTTCCATCGTACACAATGTTCTCAAAATCGTGGAATCTAAAAACGTTTTTATAATATTAACATTTCATCAGGTATTTTGAATGAACTCACACTTTTCTATGCAAATGTACATGCCGTCAAGACTTGTTAAAATTATGTATCACTACTTTACAATGCATGCTTACCTTTCTTTCAATTGGAGAGCAATCGATATTACAAAGTTGTATGCATTTTTACAAAAAACATCCAACTCTGCTCCATGAGTTATCAAAGCACATCGGACTTCCTCTCCAAGATCAGCATCAATGTATGGTAAATAATGTTTGAAATCAAAAATATCGATTTTATCCAGGGGCGTGAACTTTATGTAAACGCGATTCATTATACAGGATACAATATTTTTGTACGTTTTTTCAACTTGGTGCTTGACTTGGTGAATTACCACGTCTTCTCTTTGAAAAAATATGTTCAATTTGTTTAATTTGGCCAAAACATGTTGTAACAATAACAGGTACATCTTTGTTTCTTTTTTTTGCATGGTACTCAAATTTTTCATCGCTACGTCATCTTTCGCAGCAGCAAGTTGTTGGACCATAACGAAGAGAGCATCCCATTGTTCAATAATTCTACTGACGCACATTTCCAGCTGCAACCAACGGATTATCACCCAACGAAGAATCTTATGCTCTGGTAGATGAAGCTCATTTTGGATATTAATGAAATCGTGCACTCTCTTCGAACTCTTAAGCATTTTGTATAGATTGCTTATTAACAGTGTAACTTCTTCGGGTATCTGTTTCATCGCGTGCTGTGCACATAGATG